TCAGTGGGGGGAAACCACCCTACCCAATTTGTAAGCTCAGGAAAATGTCTCAGTAATCAACAGTTTACCAAAGGCTCCCTGACAGGAAGGATTCCTGACAGCCTAAAAATGGGGACTGTTAAGAAAAGTATATTCACATTTTTATAATTTGTGAAAGACAAATGTTGACATGGCTGTATAAATCCTAAGGATCAAACACCACTGCAAGGAACTCAAGTCCTCTTTATAAACCATAAAGCAGTTAGACAAGCTCTCCCATGCCCTGTGGTTTGGAGAGTTATTAATTCTTTGCAGGTTATCTCAGGTACAGTCAGTATTTTCAGAGAAACATGACCCAAGTCCGATAAAGTCACCACAGAAACATTATTTTGCTGGACTTTCTTTTAAAAGAAAGTCTTTTGATATAGCTACACAATGCCTTGAACTGTAAGTGGCAAGTAAAAAAATTTTGGGGAAAACCTGCGGAAGTGATCTGGCATGGGCTTATTAACAGACACGTATGTATGGCAGCAAAGCCCCAGAAGGAATATTCAAGTAGCTAATACTAACAAAAATTAACAGTTTCAGAAAAGTCCACAGTGAAAATGTGAAGTATTTGGCAGCACTGTTTAACCCACTACATGGTAGTACCAGTCCAATTTCATAATCACTGGAACAAGTGCCAGAAGCTTTTAGAGGTGATGTGAAAGCAGATGATATTTACACCCAGGGCTGGGTATAAATATTAAAGTTGATCATCAGGAATTAATTAGAGAGAGGGTCTGCAGAGAGATGTAGTGTCTCCACTGAACCAGAGGGCAGAAAATAAATCGAGAAGCTTTTCAGTGGTTTTTTTTTCTGGATCCATTTGCTATCGGTGTAGGCCAGCACAGCTGCATAGGTGGAAACAGAGCAGTAACCAACCAATAAAGACTAACCCATTCTAAAGATCTCCAGGGGAATCACACCTGTGCTATAAACCCACTTCATATAAAACCTGGACTGCAATTTCATGAAACTAAGGTCTGTCCAACCTGTACAGCTGTCCTGAGACACAGCTACTGCTCCTTGAAGGCAACAAATGTTTTTACCTCACTCAAGAACTGTCCTTGAGGCAAGTCAGTGTAGAAACAGCTTTGCAAAGAGCTTAAAAATAGCACAAGGGAGTCTTTGTCAGATACACAGCGGAATCCACAGCTCAAAAGGTTGTTTAATATGCATGAGAGGGTTAGCTGTTTGTAAGATTGTCCTCTTGGATATGGAACTAAACTACTTGTCTCTACAAAACACTGCACAGTCAGAGCAAACCATCCAAATATTACAGTTTTGCTTCCTCTTCCCACTGAAAGTAATGGATTGACACTGTACATCACTTCCAAGATAAGATTTAATAATAGTTCTCTTTAAAATCCAGATTCTACCTGGCTTCAACTTTGGATTACTAAAGGGCTTTCAAAAGGGACCATTATTTTTGAGCAAACTTATTTTCCACTTTGAAATCAGCAAGCAATGCCCTGGTTTGCCTTGTCCTATACAGCAGGACAACTCCTGTCCCTTGCCAAAGGTACCACAGCAGCCAGGATAAAGGGCAGAAACTCAATTTCCATTATATGGTTACTTCAAAGATTACCTAAACTGCAAGTGGCAGTTTCAGTGAAAGTAAGACCTGCTACAGTGCTAACACAGTACCTCTTTCATGTACTGGTTATACAAGGCTTCTGCAGATTCCAAGTAAGTTTGTGCAGTTTCAATTTCATCCCTTCGAGACCAGAGGATACCCAGGTTGTTCTAAAGGTAAAAGGAAAAAAAAAACCCAGTTATTTTCCCATTGTGTTTCATTTACATTACACAGTTTCTCCAAACAATTCAGTCTTCATCATATATTTGTGTTCTAATAAAATGAATTTCAAAAAGCAAAAATGGTGCCCATCCACTTGACTGTGAATTGCTCAAAAAAGAAGGGGTTCTCACACAGCAAACTTCACACACAAAATTCACCTCTCTGACTGTAACTTTCTGTGTTTATTCTGCCAGGTAAGGATTGGTGTGTCCAAATAATGAGCTTTTTCCAAGCACATTCCGCATCCAATTCATGCAGCTTTTACATCACATACATATGTCAGAAAAAGAGACAAGACATTAGAAACTTTTACCATGACTCCATTGAAAGAGTTAACAGGAAAAAGACATGCTGGGAATGAATGCTTGTAAATTTTCAACAACAGAAAGAGATGAAAAGTGCCTTTAAGATGCAAAAGCTATTGACTACTGCCTTCAAATTTCAGTCAAAGCAACATACATAGCAAGTTACTGCATCTGTGAATCCACCTTTTACAAAAACTACCTCTAATTTTATTAATAAGATGAAGGTGTTAATAACAATCTATATCTGATATGCTAATTTAAGTCCTAGGCAGCGCTGTTACAAAATCCAAGAGGGCTAAAAAAAACCCCAAACCTTCAAAATAGTTAGAATGTGTAGTTGTATGCCAGCCTAGTACCCTTTTTACTTCCATTCATTTTGTTATTTTTATAAGAAAGCACATCACATGTTGTTTATGAACTGAAATACTTTGCCTTAGGCCAAGCAGTGGAACAGACCAAATTCCATTAGACAGAAAGTGTGATACACAATCTTAAGAAGCAGCTCAGAAAATCAGAAGCAGGAAAGAGGAATGCTCCTTCTTTCAAAATAGCAGTCAGTGCTGTGGCAGCACACTCTAGACTCCCAGGATCTGGAGAAGTACGGCCACTGATGGCAATTTTGCACAACAAACTTCATCCTGCTGCTCCCTAAATGCCCCAAAACAGTCATGTCCATGCAAACTTTTGCCTAACAGAGACAAGAGCTGCTTTCCAACACACCATTCAGAAGCACAGTGGAATCCCTGGCCCTCAGCCACGAGAGCCACCAGGAACATGTGGGAAGATATTATCTGGTTTGGGCTCCAGCAATCTCTACCTTACAATGAGTAACAGATTCATAGTGGTGCACTGAAGGACAAGCAGATGTAACCTCACAATTCCAGACAACTCCGCTAATTTAGCCAGCATAAGACAAGTCACTGTTTAACTGGCACCTTTTCCACATCAGCACGCAATTCCTTGACAGTATTGCAACGTTTGATCAGGGAGCACTACTGAAACTTTTTTAACTGGAGCAACCATTTTTGACAGAGACATCTAAATAACTGCTCTATTTAATTTACAGTCTAGAGACAGATACCTGACTATACACCAGCTGCCATGGCAGAGCGGGTCCACAAAGGCCCTTTTGTGAATCTTCGTGTGGCAAGAATTAATTTTGATAAGAGTATTATTTTATTCAGAATAAAGACATGAATATTATTACTTTGAGCCCCAACAAAAGTGTATTTACTCATCCGGGACAAAATTTAATAGCTTAAAAGAGTACAGACGAGGCTGAAAAGCAAACAATTTACCATTTACACATCAATAAAAGCATCTCCCAACTTCACTTTGACGACAAACGAGTTAAGGAATCACAAATGATGGATATACTGAGGTCTTCTACTAATTTATTCCTGTCCAGCTCTTACCAGTTCTGTCTCGGTCTGTCCCGAGGAACACGCTGCTTTGTCAACACACAGTTTCCATTGCGAGAACACACTTTAGATGCCCTGCACGCCCAGAGGCATCAGCAGAAGGCTTAAAACAGAACCCCCCTCCCCAGCCAGCCCCCGGGAATGATTTCTTCCGGCAGGAACGGGGGCCGTGTTTATGATGGTTACCCAGGCAGTGCCTGTCAGGACACGGGGGTGCCTCCCCCCTCCCCGCGGCCTCCCCCGCCCACCTGGGCCTGGATGTAGAGGGACACGCAGTCCGGGGACAGGCGGTGCGGCTCCAGGAGCTGCGTGCAGCGCTGCAGGTGCTCCTCGCCGGCCGACAGCTCCTCGGTGTCGGTGTGGTTGACGCCCAGCTCGTACTCCAGCACGGCCCGCCGCACGGCCAGCACCCGCGCCTCGCCGCCCTCCTCGGCGGCGCTCAGCAGCTGCTTCACCTCCTGCAGCAGCGCCCGGGCGCTGTACTTGGAGCGGTACGGCTCCGTCTCGGGGTCCTTCAGCGACTCCACGGCCGAGAGCGTGCGGGCGGCGCGGAACTTCTCGCACACCGCGGGCCACCCGCCGCCCGCCGCCATCTTCCCGCGCCGCCGCCCCGCCCCGCGCGGCCTTCCCGATCCCGCCCCGATCCCGCCCCGCCGTCAGCCAACGCCCCCTCAGCGGGGCCGTTCCAATCCCGACCCCGCCCCGCCGCCACCCAGCACCCCCTCAGCGGGGCCATCCCGATCCTGCCCCGCCGCCACCCAGCGCCCCCTCAGCGGGGCCATCCCGATCCTGATCCTGCCCCGCCGCCATCCAACGCCCCCTCAGCGGGGCCATCCTGACCCAGCCACCACGCAGCGCCCCCTCAGCAGGGCCATCCCATTCCCGATCCTGCCCCGCCGCCATCCAACGCCCCCTCAGCGGGGCCATCCTGACCCAGCCACCACGCAGCGCCCCCTCAGCAGGGCCATCCCAATCCCGATCCTGCCCCGCCGCCATCCAGCGCCCCCTCAGCGGGCCCCCATCTTTCCAACCCTTCGAGGTTCCCCCTCCCCCCTCCCCGCAGTCTGTGACAGGCTGGAAGACCGTGAAGGAGCTGGAAAACAGAAGCACCCTAAAGAAAACTGGAGCCTCAACATCCATGGGATGCTCTGGAGGAAGGGTGCTGAGAGGCTGATGTCAGATTTTTCTGAAAAAAATTTTAGAACCAGATTTCTTAATGCAAGGGCTGCTGAACGGGCGAGGTTTGGTGGCTGTCCGTGTTTGGATGAGCGCTGCTCCCCACAGTGCCAAGTTTCCAGGCACACTCACCACCCCAGGACAGGGATGCCCTTACAGACAGCAGCTGCTTTGCTGGGCAGGAAGAAAAATCTCCCAAAACACCCAGTTATCTCAGCAAACATGGTTTTTAGTTATCCTCAAAGACAGGCTGCTTTATCAAGGAATAAAGACAAAGAG